GTGACGCGGAGGCGGTCAGCTGGCCGGCTGGCGCCCGGCGTGGAGGTTTTGAATTTGTTTATTTATGATGCACGACGCGCATGACATCACGGCCCAGGCCCAGGGCTCCTGCTCCTGCTCCTGGAGTGCTGCCACTGGCTGCCCGTCCCCGTTGCGTCCCGTACTGGTCTTCCTCCCTCCGCTCCTCCTCCTCGGTCGCCGGGCTCCTCGCCGCGTTCTCGCGGACGTGCGCCGGTGCGCGTCGGGAGTGTGGATGCTGGCCATACCCATACGGGCCGACGTGCACCGCGCACCCACGGGGGCGGGTAGAATGGTAGAGCAGCGCCGCTTCGCTACGACGGCGGGTTTCGCGCGCGTGCGAGGCCATGGTGGTGCTGTCGCACCCTTGTATATATCCCTGGCTGGCGCAAAAGTCTACCCGCTGTGGAGACACATCCGAGACAAAAAGGAAAGATAGTATAGTCTGATGGAGGCGACATGGAGTGCCAAATCTAGATAGATACATCTATGAGGAAATAATCGCATCGATGTGTGAGCGGTCCTTGGTTAGTGCTCTGGCGAGTACGTAGTACGCATTTTTTTTAACGAGACGAGAAAGAAAGACACCTTCGTGGGCAGGATACCAAAAGAGTGCCTTCGTACGGCGAGTATCACTGTTATCATCAGGCTAATATATAAAGAGCGCGCAAGACAAACTGAGACTATCCTTACCGAGTGTACTGCAATGTTTAACAAAGCAAGCGCCCGTACTCCTGATTCTAGCGAGACGATAATGTCCCCATATACTGTGCACGCTATCGCATGTTCTTATAGTACAAGGCGGGCACAGGGGTTGACGAGAGGGGCAATGCGCCAATGTGTCATGTGAGGGTGGTAAAAATAAATGTGTAGAGGCGTCAAAGTGAATCCCCGAGTTCGTGTTGACGGGTAGTAGTAGCGTAAGTTCGGGCACCGGCGAGCAGCCGCCGCGCGCGCGGCGTTGCTGAGCGTGTCAAGTTGTACATGTGCATGCCCAGCTAGGCAGCGAGCCCATGCTCTAACCGT